CAAATGTATGGTTAACCTCTGCCTAGACTTGGCAAGAAGGTTACTTACATGTATATGTACCTACTTAACTAAATTGTGAAATTTTTTCACAGTTGATTTTATCAGTTTATGCTCAAGTCAAAATACCACCTGCATATGCTGAGGCTAGTATGGGTAAGATTGAAGCTATGCAGGTATTTCTGATGTCTACCTGTAACTAATTTGCACCTTTTTATTTGCTACATTGACTGATCTACCCATAACAGAAATAATTGCTGCAATGGTTCCAGTATAGTTCTTAGTTTGGTCCATGCTATTGTGCAGGTAAAATTTGTCAGGAACAGGTAACTTTCAATGTTTGCAGGTAATGCAGAAAAGGGTACTTCAAGCCCATGTATTCTCAATGTCTGAAGATCTTTTTTGTCAGCTTCAAGTGGGAAAGTAACAATTCAAACTCATCGCTGGTGCCACGTTTCTGTCCTCATATAACTCTGGCCAGCAATGCCTCAGTCTGCCTCAAATGCTGACTCAGCGGAAAGTTTCAAATGTTACTGAAGTCAGAAGGCTGCCAACAGTCACCTCAGTTAAGGGTTCTGGGAAAGCCAACTGCTGTAACTCCTGAGTCATTACTCATGATTGTAACTGACACTTCATATAATATACTATACTGTCCTACTGTACTTGTGATAAACACAGAGAACAAAAAGATAACAAGAAGCCATAGGCGACAATCCTCCGTGAAGTTTTATATATTTCAACAAAATCCCAAGCGTCAACGCCAGACCTACTGTGCAGACATTATGATTAGGCAACGGTTAATACAATGAGGGCGCGTCACAAGCATAAAACATACAAAAAGCTAAATCCATTACTGCTCCCAGGGCGTGTAAAGATACTGTGCTTCAAGTTCGAAGTTCATTTTAATTACACACACACAATTATTGCATTCACATAAAGATCGGACTATCATGGTCGTGTCAAAGACAGCCCCACCGTCTTCCCGTGCCTGTACCTAATTAAGCGCGCCTGGAACAGGCCAAATTCCAGCAACAGTTGCGGTAAGCACCGCGAGTGTTACTACCGCCGGCCAGATAACCAGGATATCTGCTTAGGGTACCTCTGCTACCAGACAACTGCCTAAACCTACGGCCTATTCCACAGGATTGTAAAAGTAGGGATGTTTCTAAAATATGCATTTACTTCAATATCAAAACAGCTACGGTAAAAATAAAAAGACGTGCATCATCCCGGACATAATGCCACACCACATGCAAAATTACACAGAAATGCGACGTACGGAAGAATGCGTTTTGGCTGCGAACATCTTCCAAAAAACTTGGCATCTCTTAAGCATGGGCAAAAACATCTGGAACCACTTATCAAAACCACCCCGTATCTGCATGAAGTTCCACCCCCCCCACTGCTATTCCAAACAACGCGTTTTTCAGGA